AAAAAAAAAAAAAGCCAGTAGTAAGTCTGAAGCGTTTAAAGGATCATTTAGGATAATCACATTGACATTTGAAAAGTGGAATAAATCAGAAGCCTACAAAACGACATTGCACTTGTATATTGTAGATATCGGTTTAACAACAGTATTTTTTTCCTTTCTTTGTTGTGATGTGTACAGATTCCAGAAAAGGGGGACGCCCCTATCCTGAAGTGGATTTGAGCAAAGGTTAAGGGGAAATGGGGTGGTTCGATAATTTTAAACACAACTGACTTGACTGGACTGGACTTATAGTTTAATTGGGCTAATAAAAGGTTTCATGAACAAAGTATTTTAACCACATTTTTCCTCCTTCTCTCTCTCTCTCTTATTTTTTCCTCTTTCTCTCTTTTTCTTCCTTGCTCTTTCTTCCCCTCTCTAGCACAGACAGGTACCTGGAGGGAAGATTAAATTCTTTTTTCTCACAGTGTTGTATGTCAGTTGTTTAAACTTTTAAGGTTATATTGTATTTTGATTGATGCTGTTGGCGCAAGCGATTTAATGAAGTTACTTCCACAGGCTCCAGGAGGAGGGAGGCCGGCGTGGGGGATTGCTTATTGCAGGGTGTTGTTGTGCATGTTTTAACTTTACTAATTGTAGGTAGACCTGTTGACTGCAAAGGCTTTGAAGGATGAAAGACGAGAGAACACAGGTATCCCTGGAGAAGTCCAGTAGGTTCCTCATTTCAGTTTCAAGTGTATAGATGAATGTAAGAATAGCATTTTATTTCAGTTTTACAAGTTCTGTTTTATTGTAACATTACAGTGTAAGAGTTCACACTAGCAGTAGCAATAATGACCACCAGGGTGTCCCATAATTAAGAAACAGGTTTTACTCACTAGGAAGTAACCACAGTCATTTTTCCAGGCCCACAAAGGGGTCATGGATCCCACAGATAAAATAATCAAAAGACCATGCAGGGTGTTTAACAATTTGCAAGCTTTGGTGTCCAGCTTTTCTCACCAGGAGGGAGAATCTCTGACTGAGGAGACAGACTCACATCGGACTGGGTCCTGCTGAAAAGAGGGACAGGACCCCACCAGGTGGTGGAGAGAACATCACACGCCATCGGTCTCCAGAAGGAGAGTGACACCTGTTACGACCACAACCAGGGCACCCCTGGAGAGGAGCGGAATCGATCGCTGGACCTGATTGAGGCTGATCTGCTGGAACATCAGCTCCCCACTACACCTGGAGGAGGTGACAAGACCTTCGTGGGAGCTCATTCTTTGCCCCTTTGTTCTGGTAGGAAAAAGGCAGTAGCAAACATTGGAGAAGAAGTCTCCGCTCTGCCTAAGTCGGTCAGTCAGGTGGATCGGGTAAGGACGAAGATTACCAGCCCTGACCGTGAAGAACAGAAGACGCGTCAAACTGATTTTAGTTTCGTCCCAATGCACACACGTCATTTAGAATGTTTAATCAGACTGATAAGGTTCTGAGGACTTTACATGAAGATATCTCCGCGGGCCGAATCCCGCCGAGCACCAAAGGACCCTTGTGGACGAACAAGGCCTCCCACCGCAAGCTCAAGAACCGAAAACCTGCTAGATAGTACTGTTTAAATTGAGGGTGTTGTCTTTTTCCTGTTTAATATGAGTGTCTAGTCTTTCCTTTCAGTCATTCTGAAAAACAACCAGAGAAGGGCCGTGGATTCAATTGGAAACTATTAACTATTCAAAATTTTACTCCATTCAATTGGGCATGTCATCATTCTAAAATCCCACGAGGTATTTTAAAGGTGGTTTAAAAAGAGGTCAATGTTGGTATTAAGGTGGAGTTTTACTTATTTTAGTGTGGGACACTTATCTCTTACTAGGAGTGTTGTAGTTTTTTCATATTTTTATAAAGGTTTATGCACTTGGTATTTTTTACAGGTTTTGAAGGGTTTGAACCATGGGTCTGGTCCAGGACCCCTGGAGGGTTGCAGTAAGTTTGGGTCATTTTCATCTGGACAAATCCAAAAAGGGGTGATCTCCCATGAATATGGGGAGATCAAAAGAGGGAATGTTGGATTTAATATTTTTATACCTTTTTTATATTTCCTATCAAGCATTCAAATGTCATGTTATACAAAGTGTGTGTGTGTCTTTCTTCCAGGGTTGAACTATATTTATAGAAAATGTTTGCTAATTCTAACTAGTTGACCTTTAAATATAATCTCATATTAGCTAAGGATAATTTTACAAGTTCACATTTGATATATTACAAGCAATCAAATCATGCCAGATAGCAGACTGATTAACATAAATAAAGCTAGAACACATCTCTTTAAGTTAGACTTAATATAGTTTGACTAAGTAAAATCCAACCAAAGCAACTAAACTAAAACAGAAGTATAAAAAGGATCAAGTAAGAAAACGCAAACACGAGTTAGATAATAATTAATAGTTATTAATTATTCCTAGAAATAAACAACTTTAACTCAAATCATTTGGTATCACTAAGGTATAATCACGTTAAACAAACAGCTAAAACGAACGATTTCAGTGTGCCATAAACTTTTAACTAACGTCCTTCAGGGGGCGGGCTAAACCAGTAACTATGGGAACTGAAGAAGCTAAACCAATCAGAAAGCTAGCCTTCTCAAACTGTGATAAAAGGCCGGAAATGACACACGCCCACTGAGCATTTCCGGGAGGCGCACACCGAGACGGTTCGTTCTTTAATGCTCCATTTATATGCATATATTTTAATAATGTAATTGTTTGTCTCTGAATATCTGTAACCCCTGTTTGTCAAATAAATCTTTTATACCGAGGGCGACGTCTCAGCTGTTTTGAACA